CATTCGCTAGACATTTTGAAACTTGACTAACGGCACATATGCCACTTTCACAAACTCAACAACATACTTATAGTCCTTTACAGACACTCACCCATGACATGTCTATAGAATCTATAAACACTAGCTCTGATATCAAAAAACTGTCACACCCCATCCCGAGAGACATATTTGGTATCCTAAAGATGGAAGTATAACTCGAGTGTGATAATACCTGCCCGTGTAAACATTTAATACCAATAATACCAATCAATGATATCATAAAAGAGATAAACCACACAACTATATGACAGTGTACACAACTCCATAACTCAATACAACACAAATTATTAGGGAATTCATCCCTTACATTAACAAGAAAATGAACACCCCTATGTAATATGTACATAATCAGTTTTCATAACCTTTCATCTCGACTCTACTAGTGTTGTAGTGAACCCAACTCTAAACTTCAGCTTTCTTGAAAGTAAATATTTTCTTGAGTGTACTATGTATCATAATAAATGGAAATATTAAAAATATGGATCAAATAATATTTCACCAAAATATGTTGACAATCTGAAGAGAACAACAAAATCAGAATGTTTCAACTCACTTTAAAATATCATAGTCACACTACCAATATAACAACATAATAAATAGTCCATATGTGCTATGAGTCAACAACAACATTTAGGCAATGTCAAGCTATCAACAACATTTAAGCAATGTCAAGTTATCTATAACATTTAAGCAATGTCAAACTATCTCACAATAACTGTGTAGTGCCCAAATCAACAACATGTAAGTCATGTCAAGGTATCAATAATTCTAGCACAGTGAATACTACTCAAATCACAAGCTTTCAACAAACTATAAATTTTTTCAAAAAATCACAAACTTTTCAACAAAATATATTTGATCCATTATTTGCTCAACCTAACATAAATCAAGTCATCAAACTTCATTTCACATAGTGAAATAACTCATATTAGTCATATACTTTTATTTCCAATTATTATGAAGCAATACACTTCACCTGTCACATCCAATCACACACCACTCAGCTTTATGCTGGATCCCTAAGTGGAATGGGTATATTATCTTTCGGACCTAACACAAATCATATAATCATACACAATGAGTTTCAACTCCAAATAACTCAACAAATGAAAACATATGCATATGAGCATATTTCATTTTAAGTTTTGTTCGTTTCGATTCAATTTGAATTAGATCAAGACAACTCTAATCCCATGGCTTATTTTCATAATAACTCAACATGAAATCAAATCAGTTAGAAAGTAAGCTTCTTAAGGTTTCTAACAATAGATCATAAGCTCAAAATAACCTACCATAGACCATGTTCTAATTATTTTCCAACAAGTTTTCAAATTGGATAAGTGGACTATTTTTGCTATTTTTAAGCTAAAAACTAAATTTACATAGGAATAATATGATGCTCTAGCATATACCATTGGAAAGGTCTCTGAGTCTAGTTACCAACAAAATCGACGGCGCATCAATCCGAGTTTTCTACAAAAAAGTTGAGCTTTCCTTTTTTAGTGTCCTTAGACAACACTTTATTATCTAGTCCAAGATTAGAATTGTGAGGCCTGCCATTACTTAAGCCCACATCAAATAGAAGGGATTCATCCATCAAACTCTCTGATGGGCCAATACTCAGTTTATTATTTGGCCCATACTCATTCATTTTTCGCCTATATCTATCCTCAGATCTCCTTCTAGAATTCAAAATCACCAAATCACCCATAATCTCCAGCTGGATTGAGTCTTCCATAGCACAATCATTATTATCCACTATTAATCCGGAATTCAAAAGTGGTCCTGGCTTTCCACCTTTTACTGATAACTCTTGTATTAGTGCGAGTTAGTGAGACCCATAGATCTAATAACTCACACAGATTTGGTGTAAAAAGTTGGTGTAAGTTTTGGTTTGATACAATTACTCTTTTAAATTAAAATTGATTGAACTGCTCAAACAATAACTCCTTCCAATTGGTCATCATCTGACCAATTATTATCTGGCTGTATGAAGGCTAATTATATTACAATGATATTATTCCCACTCCTCAAAGAAGGTCCTAACTTTCTAATCATTATTTTTATTGTAAAGCCAAAAACAATATGAAGATGTTAAATGACTTACATGTAAACCCCCACATCTTATCTTCATATAGCAAGTAATTATTTTTAAAAGCTAATATAGGTGATGAGGTATGCATGAACGCTATAGATTTTAATAGTATGAATAAATACTAGGGAGGCAAATTAATGGTGAAATTTAATTTTTTGAGGTGTTTAAGGTTGATAAGGGTAACTAAGTAAAAATATAATTTTTTTTAGGTCAAAATAATATTATCGTTGAACATGGGAGATCCAAAAAAACTTGAAATAGCCTTTTAGCACATATAGCGGTTCGAAGGAATAAAATAGTAATTTTCGTGTTTCGAGTGTAAATTTATATTAGTTTTGAGATAACTCATAAAAATAAATATTTTTAGGTTAAAATAACATTAAAAATGAATCCGAAATGTCGAAAACCTTAGTGTAGTCATATGGATTAAATTGGACATTCTTAGTGGTAAAACCGTAATTTTAGAGCAAACCAAATCAGCCTGTGAACAGTAAAAATCAGGGCTTTTGTGTTTAAAACCCATTTTTATCCCATTTACTCCCATTCTTTTCATTCCACTCTCACCCCACACCTCTTAGAACCTTAGAGGAAGATTAAGGAAGGAAGGAAGAAAAGGGAAGAAGGAGGTCACTAGAGCTTGGGTTCTTACTTGAAAATTTGATTCAAGTAGGGATTTTCTTCCATTCTCTTACATTGAGACTAGGGTTATACATATATGTTTTCTTTGACTCTACATCATATTAATATGCTATGAAATCATGGATTCTTGATGTTTTTGTAAATGTTAGCATGTTTTAAATAATGGGATGGTTGGGTAACCATCAAAGTTCTTTTCTCATATTTAAAATCCTAGATTTCAATAGAAGTGAGTTTTTCTCTTGATTTCTCCTTTATTCTTAATTTCAAAACTTTAGTGTTTCGTATTGAACAACACAATGGTATTTATGATGATCTCTTGTTAATTTTTCTTAAATTGTTCCATTGTGAAATAAATGTAGATTTGGATGTGAAAAAATTAGGGATTTATGGAATTGAGTGTGTTTGAGAAATTGTTGGTGATTGTATCTCATGGAGGTGTTTGGATGGCCATGGGTGGCCATTGACCGGGTATCGTAGAGTGGGTAGATGTGTGTGGTTCTTACTCCATGTGGGTTTGAACTTTTCTTACCACTCGTAGTGGGGTTGGTGTCTTGCGAGGACCAAACCACTATTAGCTCACAGGTGTCGTGTCAGAGGATTAGTATACTATGCCTGGGTCGGATTCATTAGTGCCGGTGCATTGGTATGGGACAATGCATCGGTAGGCGCCCTTCTCGAAGTTGATATCCTTATGAGGAATTGTTTGTGTGTGGGCCAAGATATTCTTTATGTGTTTATTCATGCGATTATCTTACATCAGACTTGAGATACATTGTAGTTATTATTTATTGCGTTATCTTTTGGATATGATTATCTTGAAAATTGTTGTGGGAATAATTACTCTTTGGAATGGTTATTTATGGTGGGATTAACTTTACTCTTGCACTTAACTATTGTTAATATATAAACTTGAGATATTTGAAAATGTCATGTTTTCTTTCAAAATTTACGTATGCTATTTGTGAAATGAGACCGACCATTTTTTACGTTTTTCAAACCTTGTTATATTTTGGGAGGATTTTCTGACAGTGCGTAGTACTCACCCCCTACTAATAATGTTTTTTTTTTAGATTTCGTGTTAGAGGAAGATCTCGGCGTTGACGAGCCGAAAAATTGGGAGGTTCCACCAAAGGGGAACCTAGATCCCAAGGTGGACGTCTAGAGCTATAGTTTATTTTTGTGCTAGACTAAGGAATTTATTTACAATCATGTATAGTCTAGTATTTTGTTTATTCCGCTACTAAGTTTGAGTGTAATTCTTTTGGAATGTAAGTGTCATAGCTTGGCCCGTTCTTTTGGGATGATATGGTGGATGTTATATGTGGTGAATGAAATTTTATTATTTGATGGGTAAATGGACCCGGTGTGGTCAATGTAGTATAATTGCACAGGTTGTGTTTTGGGTAGAGCTCCTAATACAAAGAAGACTCTGCCCGAATTTTGTTAAATTAAGGACCCCCGATTTTTGGGGTGTTACATTACGTGCTCTTATTTTAACATGTAATCCATTACAAACCTTGAATTGAAATTTTTTGAAATATTTGGGTGTCGGTCCATATTTTAGGACTTACGGGGTTATAAGTTCATCCAGAAACTAATGCTAGGTTTAAGTCCATTTTTGATTCAAATGTCCAAACTATCCCCCGAAATCCCTCTTTCCTCAGATAAGACATCGATGTCAAAAATAGTAACATTTAAAATCAAAAGTAGTAACATTTAAATCCAACAAAAAGTAACATTTAACAAAATAATAACATGAAACAGTAACATATACACAATAGGGATATAAATAGTAAAGTCAACACAATGGTGACAAAAAAAAATTACAATTGAAACCAATTGATGTTACTATGTGAATGTTACATAATTTGAGTGTTATTATGTGATGTTACTATATGTGTGTTGCATGTCATTTGCAAGTTACTAATTAATGTTACTATATATGTGCTGAACTATTTTCTCTCTCACAATTTCCTATTCTCTCTCTAGATCCCAATGGATTCTCTGACCATTGTTACTAGAAATGGAAATGTAAGCTCATTTTGGCATTTCGTCGACCACTTAAAGCTTTTACTAAGCTAAAGCAAACCTTTAAATCTGAACCATTCTGCAACACTAAATACCACAAAAAAAACCCAATAGAAACAAGCAATAATTGATTCAAACCATCATTCAAAAAATTGTTTATTCAGTTTGAGAGATAAGCCACCATCACTGCCCAACCCAGTCGTCTACCTCTAGCCGCGAAAAACCTAAACCCCTCCTCCACCTCCACATCACAACACTAGCCCCAGCCACTGTCACTACCCCAACCCAGCCGTTTATCACCAACTGCCAAAAACCCTTGCCCCTCCTCTACCTCCACATTGCAACCACTAGCCCCAGCCACCCGCCACTGTCACTACCTAACCCAGTTGTCAATCACCAGCCGCCAGAAACCTTAGCCCCTCCATCTCCATGTCGCAATAACCACCAGCCCCAGCCACTACCCCAACTTAGCCGTCTATCACCAGCCGCCAAAAACCCTAACCTTGCCACACTACTTCATTGCCACACCAAGCCACCAGTCCATTGACGTGCTTCATTCCATGCCCAATCTAGCAGTCAGTGATGACCCAACTACCTGCCTAAACCCACCACTCGACCTTCTTACTCCCGGCACGCACACTTATACCGGCGGAGTTATTCACCACCCCATTGCCGGTGACTTACATCACGTTGACCCCGCGAGATACACTTATAAACAATCTCGGCCCATCAGTTAATCTGCCCATCCCATCATCAAACCCGACCCACTACCCACAACTAAACACCAACCCGCCTAAAACCCAACAAAACTTGGTGCTCCAAAACCAGTCATATCCACCACCCATAATTCTTGGACCTGACCCCCTGATTTCGCTCCAGACCTGACGTGACCGCACAAGTCATTCATAGATGTTTTGAGGGGATCCATCACCCTGGCTCTGACACCCCCACTCGTCGATTCCCCCACCCCGTGGTTATGGTTAGTTCAGATACTATCCTTCCTAGTGCTGTGCAGGAGCAGAGTTTGTACCCCAATCCTTCAGTTGACACAATTTTTGAGCTAATTTGTGATGGACCTGTGACTACCCCGGTTGTTTGTCTGACTATTTGTGAGCTCCGAGGGGTTAAGAGTCCTCTAGCTATGTCAATTTTTGAGGATACTATTTTGAGGCATAGAGATAAGGGTGTCAACCCTGGATTGTCTACTGGGGTGGAGAGTCATTCTACTAGAGATATATCATCTGATGAGTCCTTGGGTGGTGATGTTGGATCCTTTTCTAACCCGTATGAAAGCCTTTCTCAGCCTGGATGAGCTTTATATGATACTTCACAATCCGGTTGACAGGTTTCATTGCATAGATCTCAGCGTATTGGTAAGGGAGGTCGAGTAAGTAGAGGAGGTAGAGGTGGTAGGTCTGGCCATGGGACACTTATTTTGGTTCTTCTACTCCTTTCAGATGATTAGTACGCTTATATGGAAGATAAAAGGGATCAACCAGGCCTCTTCGATTAGAAGGCTCAGGAAGTTGATCCACTCACATCACTTATCGATATTCTGTATTTTGGAGCTTTTTGTTGACTGGGATCNGGATATGATTATCTTGGAAATTGTTGTGGGAATAATTACTCTTTGGAATGGTTATTTATGGTGGGATTAACTTTACTCTTGCACTTAACCATTGTTAATATATAAACTTGAGATATTTGAAAATGTCATGTTTTCTTTCAAAATTTACGTATGCTATTTGTGAAATGAGACCGACCATTTTTTACGTTTTTCAAACCTTGTTATATTTTGGGAGGATTTTCTGACAGTGCGTAGTACTCACCCCCTACTAATAATGTTTTTTTTTTAGATTTCGTGTTAGAGGAAGATCTCGGCGTTGACGAGCCGAAAAATTGGGAGGTTCCACCAAAGGGGANGTTATATGAAATAATAAATATAAATGAAGTACCCCAAGACTACTAACACATAAACTTTATCTCTCTTTAATGATAGTTTATGCAAATCTTTGTAGAATACATCTGAAAATACTTGTACCACAAAAATATATTTCAACTGTATATTTCCTTCTTTAGTGTCTACTACATAAGCTAAGTAGCCCATCTTACCTTTGTCTGAGTAGACTAAACATTCAAAACTCCCTTTTCGATCACTAGAAGTTTTATACTCTTTCATTTGGTAACTGAAATATCATCTCATTTCTAAACAATGCATAATAGCATGATATTTAATCAATCAACCATCTCAAGAATTATATCAACATCTAAGATATCTGGAGACATAAAATCAATAGATAAATCTCTAAATTTCACATTCAATATACAACCTCTATATATAATCTCTATTAACACTATCTCTCCTACTATCGTAGCAATAAATAATTTAGTATACAACAATGTCAACGATTAGTCCAATGGTATGTTATACAACGACTTTGTGAATCTTGGGTATATCAAAACCCATGCAATCTTGACCAGAATTAGAGAGGGTACTTGTGACAACCTCAATAGTAGCTTGAATATCCTATCAAGTTATAGCAAATACAATACATACAATTGTATTGGTAGTTTCTCTCCCAAAATTAAGGTTATCAAAAATAATACCAACACTAATATTTGCACTGTCCAGTAAACATGTAAATAAATCAAGATACTCGTCAACACAAAGGAGCTATAAGTATTAGGTTATAATATTTCAAACACACAAAAACTTCATTTGACTGACGAAAATCATGTATTAAATAGTATAATGCCTATACACCAATCACATGTACGATGTCAAACTTCGGTCTTCTTCACATCCTCTATTATGAAGACTGAAAATTTTCTCTATTATGTATCACTTAAAATATCTTGTTCAATTAGTCGAGTAATACTTTCAATTATTCTTTTTATCACCCTTAACTGCTCATGTGCAACATCAAATCCACTATATATATTCTATGGTCTACTTGATCCTATGTCATAGCTAAACCAGATGGATCACATTATACCACCTAAACAATATAGGGTGGTTTTTATGGCACTATATTAGTAAAAAAGTGTCAATACATAAAATAACATAGTGATATATGAATTCACCTTACATTCGCTAGACATTTTGAAACTTGACTAACGGCACATATGCCACTTTCACAAACTCAACAACATACTTATAGTCCTTTACAGACACTCGCCCATGACATGTCTATAGAATCTATAAACACTAGCTCTGATATCAAAAAACTGTCACACCCCATCCCGAGAGACATATTTGGTATCCTAAAGATGGAAGTATAACTCGAGTGTGATAATACCTGCCCGTGTAAACATTTAATACCAATAATACCAATCAATGATATCATAAAAGAGATAAACCACACAACTATATGACAGTGTACACAACTCCATAACTCAATACAACACAAATTATTAGGGAATTCATCCCTTACATTAACAAGAAAATGAACACCCCTATGTAATATGTACATAATCAGTTTTCATAACCTTTCATCTCGACTCTACTAGTGTTGTAGTGAACCCAACTCTAAACTTCAGCTTTCTTGAAAGTAAATATTTTCTTGAGTGTACTATGTATCATAATAAATGGAAATATTAAAAATATGGATCAAATAATATTTCACCAAAATATGTTGACAATCTGAAGAGAACAACAAAATCAGAATGTTTCAACTCACTTTAAAATATCATAGTCACACTACCAATATAACAACATAATAAATAGTCCATATGTGCTATGAGTCAACAACAACATTTAGGCAATGTCAAGCTATCAACAACATTTAAGCAATGTCAAGTTATCTATAACATTTAAGCAATGTCAAACTATCTCACAATAACTGTGTAGTGCCCAAATCAACAACATGTAAGCCATGTCAAGGTATCAATAATTCTAGCACAGTGAATACTACTCAAATCACAAGCTTTCAACAAACTATAAATTTTTTCAAAAAATCACAAACTTTTCAACAAAATATATTTGATCCATTATTTGCTCAACCTAACATAAATCAAGTCATCAAACTTCATTTCACATAGTGAAATAACTCATATTAGTCATATACTTTTATTTCCAATTATTATGAAGCAATACACTTCACCTGTCACATCCAATCACACACCACTCAGCTTTATGCTGGATCCCTAAGTGGAATGGGTATATTATCTTTCGGACCTAACACAAATCATATAATCATACACAATGAGTTTCAACTCCAAATAACTCAACAAATGAAAACATATGCATATGAGCATATTTCATTTTAAGTTTTGTTCGTTTCGATTCAATTTGAATTAGATCAAGACAACTCTAATCCCATGGCTTATTTTCATAATAACTCAACATGAAATCAAATCAGTTAGAAAGTAAGCTTCTTAAGGTTTCTAACAATAGATCATAAGCTCAAAATAACCTACCATAGACCATGTTCTAATTATTTTCCAACAAGTTTTCAAATTGGATAAGTGGACTATTTTTGCTATTTTTAAGCTAAAAACTAAATTTACATAGGAATAATATGATGCTCTAGCATATACCATTGGAAAGGTCTCTGAGTCTAGTTACCAACAAAATCGACGGCGCATCAATCCGAGTTTTCTACAAAAAAGTTGAGCTTTCCTTTTTTAGTGTCCTTAGACAACACTTTATTATCTAGTCCAAGATTAGAATTGTGAGGCCTGCCATTACTTAAGCCCACATCAAATAGAAGGGATTCATCCATCAAACTCTCTGATGGGCCAATACTCAGTTTATTATTTGGCCCATACTCATTCATTTTTCGCCTATATCTATCCTCAGATCTCCTTCTAGAATTCAAAATCACCAAATCACCCATAATCTCCAGCTGGATTGAGTCTTCCATAGCACAATCATTATTATCCACTATTAATCCGGAATTCAAAAGTGGTCCTGGCTTTCCACCTTTTACTGATAACTCTTGTATTAGTGCGAGTTAGTGAGACCCATAGATCTAATAACTCACACAGATTTGGTGTAAAAAGTTGGTGTAAGTTTTGGTTTGATACAATTACTCTTTTAAATTAAAATTGATTGAACTGCTCAAACAATAACTCCTTCCAATTGGTCATCATCTGACCAATTATTATCTGGCTGTATGAAGGCTAATTATATTACAATGATATTATTCCCACTCCTCAAAGAAGGTCCTAACTTTCTAATCATTATTTTTATTGTAAAGCCAAAAACAATATGAAGATGTTAAATGACTTACATGTAAACCCCCACATCTTATCTTCATATAGCAAGTAATTATTTTTAAAAGCTAATATAGGTGATGAGGTATGCATGAACGCTATAGATTTTAATAGTATGAATAAATACTAAGNAACCCCCACATCTTATCTTCATATAGCAAGTAATTATTTTTAAAAGCTAATATAGGGGATGAGGTATGCATGAACGCTATAGATTTTAATAGTATGAATAAATACTAAGGAGGCAAATTAATGGTGAAATTTAATTTTTTGAGGTGTTTAAGGTTGATAAGGGTAACTAAGTAAAAATATAATTTTTTTTAGGTCAAA